GGGGGGGGGGGGGGGGGGGGGGGGGGGGGACAGGGAGCTCTGGGAGATGGGATACTATGGAATTCCTCTCCCTTCCCTCCCCATTGACTTCCTGCTACTGCAAGGCCTTGTGCTAATGGCTGAGACCCAAGAGAGATGGAATAAGACCGGGTTTTGTGGAACCAGAAGTATACACAATTTGGTGGAACCTCTTTAAGGGAAGCATGCACACACAGTTATAAAATGGGGGGCGGGGCTTAGGACAGACCCAGGGAGTTCCCATTTCTTTTGCATATGGCACAGAATACTAGTGAAATGAGATAGAGACCCCAAGGCACCTCCCTTCCTTCTCTGAACTTTCCTGAATCCAACCCTGACCAAGAAGGGGAAGTGAACTTTCAAGAGCTCCGAGTGTCCTGCCCCTGCTTTTGACGCCCAATTTTCCTGGCCTGGACTCGCTCTATTGCACAGCTTCTGCCCAGTGATGACCAAGTGTCTGACCAGCAGGTTTGAAGTATAGAAGAATCAGAGTTGAGGGGTCTCCATGGTCAGGGAGAGTTGTGCCTTGAGAAATACCAGGGGGAAGGTCCCCTGGAGGGGAATTTTGCAGGATATGGTGGTTGAGGGACGAGTCTTAGCAGCGAGAGGCTGCAGAGGGGAGAATCATGTCACTGATTTCCCTCCTGGTTTCTCTCTCATCGTGTAGCGTGATTCTGGAGAGCGACCCCCAGCAAGTGATCCAGAAAGTGAACTTTAGGGTAAGAGTCCCCTGCATGCCCTCATCTCCTCTAGGCTGCCGTTCCCATCCTCCCCGGCTCCTGTCTTCCCTGTGCTGGGGCTGCCAGGGCCTGGGGAGGGGGCGGGGGTAGGGTGGGGCCCAAGCTCCTCTAGCAGAAGCAATCACTGGGATGATGCACTTGGGGGAGCAGCAGTTTGGGGGTGTCAGTTAGTAAAAGAGATCTGCTGTCCCCTCCCCCTGTAGAATCACCAAGTAGCTCCCCCTCCTCCCTGGTGGGAAATACAGACTGGGGAAATAAACTCTCAAAGAGACACCGGTGGCCGCCTTGGCCTTGAAGTTGGGGAGTGGCAGTCTAGATAGAATGGCCCTGCCTAGTGTGGCTTTCCTGTCTGAATTAAACCTTCCCTCCCATCTTCATTCCCTTCGTTCCCTTCCTCTCCGTGCACCATAGGCAGGGCCTTCGGGGTCCTGGCTTCCAAGTGACAAGGTGCAGGGCTCCCACTCACGGGCGATCCAGGTGCAGTGCTGGATCCCATAACTGCACCCCTCACCCCACCCCTTCCCCTCCCTTTCTAAGCCCATTACGCCCGCCCTGGCCTGACCACCCTCTGCCACTGCTTCCCCGCAGGCAGATGACGGCGGCTTGACTGAGCAGAGTGTGGCCCAGGTAGGCCCCCAACGTCTGCCTTGGGCTAGAGGGTGGAGAGCAGCACCTCCGAGGGGGACCCAGCGGGGGCTGTGAAGGCTGAGAAGTCAGGGTGCGGGAGGGATTAGACAGTGACAGACAGGCCGTCTGTTGGAGAGTCACGGGCGGCTGCTAGAGTCTCCGAGGTGGTGCCGAGCTGGGCATTGATCATTGACGCACACCCTACTGGCAGCCACCTCATCTCCTGGCTTGGTATCCTTAGACTGAAACCCTGCGGTAAGCGCCCACCTGGAGATGGCTGGGTCACTTTTCCCCAAAGCAATCCCGGGGCGCAGGCCCTGATGCTCCCCCTCGCCCAGAAAGGACAACAAATAGGAGTTTTCCTCCAAACCCTCACCCCTCAATGTTAAGGTCCAAGCTGTAATTGTTTAGGGACCCTTGAGCCCATGACAAGATCTCACTTGCTCTACTCCTCACCTGCCACCTAGCCCCTGGCTGTGGAAAACTCCATCCCTGCCAGTCCCCTGCATGGTCCTAACTGGGGGTGCATGTGGGGCAAGGGGGAGGTCCCTGGATCTGTGGCCTGATGGTTTCCCAGCTGTGCAAACTTCCTGCTTATCGGGCTGACTGCTTGACCTCCGTCTGTCTGCCCGCAGGTCTCTCTGCACAGACTAATCCTGGTTTTATGGAGCTTCCTGCCCCGGCACTAACTCCCACCTGCTTGGTGGCCCAGGCCTGGACGGGTGTGTAGCATCCGTGTGGAGCCCTAGGTGTGCTGCCCACTTGCCTGCACTGCCCTGGTGCTCACCCTGCCTCTCCCTCCTCGTGGCTCCCCAGGCCTCCCCCTACTCTGCCGGGAGGAGTACAGACAGCCCTGCGGCAGTTTCAGGTCCAAAGAGGTTAGGGAGCATGCGCAGAGCAGACACAGGTGTGTATGTTCCACTTTGCCACCTAGAATCTGGGTTACCGAGGGCAAGTGTCTCAACCTCTCTGGGCCTCACATAATCACAGGACACTCCCCATAGAGTTATCATGAGAACTAGGTGAGCCAGTGCATGGCAAACTCTTTGCAAAGGGAGAAAGAAGGAAGACACAGCCCTTTTAATGGAATTCTTGAGTAAAAAACCAAGAAAGTCGCAGGGAGTGAGTGGAGGATGAAACGAGGAGAAAGTTGGATTCTGGCAAGAGAAGCAGGAGTACCCCCCAGGGCCATGCTGTCCCTGAGAGAGGAAGGGAGCCTGTGCAGGAAGAAGGGACACACATTGTGGGACGAACCTTCAGAAGGGGGTGAGGCTGGGTGGCAGGAGGGACGATCGGAGAGGCATACGTGGCGTCACCACCGTGTTGGGATTGTGTGTGCGCCTTGGTACGGGTTTGCGTCAGCACCGGCCTGCGGTTGTTTCCTCAGCTGCAGGTGAGCGTGCAGGATCCCGGTGCAGGTGTCCCGTGGCTGTGTCTGGCCAGCCACTGCTGGCCAGCTGTGCCACATCAGCAGAGGGTTGGGGTGGGTGTGGAGGACACACTGCCAGCCAAGGGCAGACCTAGAGTTTTGCTGAGGTGTCTGAGCTCAGGCAGCGTCAGGCTGGGCCCGGGTTCTGCCTGGACGTGGCACTGTGGGCAGGAGCTAGCATGACATGGAATGGGAACGACAGAGCCTGTCGCCACACCCACCACCGCAGATGCAGAAACCAGAGGGCTGGGCAGGCCTGGGCCTGGGCTGGGAGCTGCCTGCAGCCAGTTTGGACTGCTCTTTCCTCTGGCGCCCTATCCCCTGCTTAAGTCAGGTAGAGATGAGCTGCTGCCACCTAGTGACCAGGAGTTGCAGGGACACAGGGGAGGTGGGCTGTAGCCCCTCACCCTAACCCCTCTCCACTGCAGTATCAAGGCATTGACGTTCCCCTGAATTCTTTCTCTCAACCTTCCTCCCCACCCCAGGTTCTTCAGTCTGCCAAGGAACAAATTAAATGGTCATTACTGAAATGAAGGCTGTGCATTCGAGACTCCCTGCCCCCAGATAATGTCCCCAATCCTGGCAAAAACTCCGAGACCCCAGGGGACAGGAGAGGCCCCTCTGTATGCCCAGGCCCTCCCAGAACCAACTCCCGAGGTCTCTGGGCAGAGACTCCGAAATGAGAAAAAAAAAATTGGCTTTAGCACCGAGTCACCACTTCTCACTGCCCTGGCCTGCTCCTTGGGCCTCGAGAACCAGCCGAGTTAAACTCAGACCTTAGGCATCCCTGAATCCAGAGCCCTAATAAACCTGCTCTTGTCTCCTGCCAATGGTCTCCTCTCTTGGCCGGGGAAGCGTGTGTATGTGTGTGTGTGTGTGTGTGTGTGTGTGTGTGTGTGTTCCGTTAAGGGTTCCTGCACTTTCTTTGCTTCGTCTTTAGGATGCCCATTACCAGGGCATATCCCAGTGGTTGTGTGACTGGGGAGAGGTAGGTCAAGGGAAAGGGGACACTTTAACATGGCGAGGGGGTGTGGCAGGAATACCAGGAGGCCCCATAGGTGGTAGTATGATTGCGTGACACGGTAAAAGAGTAATCGGAGAAATGGCACTTATTTGGGAAAAGGAGACCAAAGATGGCACACACGTGGTGGGCCCGCTGGGGATTCTGTGAGTCACTTTTCTATGACCAGCCTCCAGAAGGGAAGGGCGTAGGGCTTCCTGGGGACAAATTGAGGAACAGCGTGCCTGTTGTTCTTGGCATGTGTGAGACTGTGGAATTCTTAAACTGGCATGCACCCTGGGCACTGGAGCCCTGCAAGCTTGCCCTGGCTGGGCCCGGATGCTGGGGGCGAGCGTATGTGTCCAGAGCACCCCGTGCACTCCAGGGCGTGTGCAGAATTGATTGCAGGTCTGGTGGAGAGAAGGGCGGGAGGGACCCAGGGGCAAAGGAGAAGGATGGAACGACTTTCTGGGCCACGTGACTCCTCTTTTCTCGCCCCGTCCCAGGCCTCCCCCACCTTCGTTTCTCCCCTTCTTTCTGTGACGCCTATACTTTCTGCGTCCATGTACCTAAGTCCCCGGAAAACTTGTTTCCCTGGATCCCATGCTAACTGCAGCC